TCCCTAGTCAAATTTCCTTTTAGAAAAATTGCTATCATTATAAATTGGAGCAAATTTGCTCGTAGAAAAGGTGTGTGCAGAAAAAAGAAGGTCGTAATATATATTTTAACTACCTAATACCTAGATTTCATATATTTTCCCGTTTTTCCTCAGTTTTTTTTTAATACACGATATTTTAGATACTCATACATATTGTTCTAATTGAAATGAAACTATTACTAAAAGAGGTGAAACGATATTGGATCATGTGTGTTCCATTATTTATCAAATCAATAAATAAATATTTCACATTATTATTGTTATATTGTTATTATTATTGTTATCATTATTATGTACAGTGACTGCTTTCCTGGCCAAAATAAAAACACACGATTTATTACAAAGTGATTCAAGTATTTACTTTCTTCCGTTCCCGTTCACCTCTAGTTCAATCTTATTTCCTTAATAAATCTCTACTTCAAAAATTATCAACTATTAAATATCTTGTAATTTATTATTCTTCAACTCTTTCCTTTGAACATTAATATTACTGTTAGCAAAGCATTAAAAGTACTTGGTTTCATGGTAACACAAAACTATTCAAATCAGTCTCCGTACTTTGTATTTAGAACTCGTTAGATCACTTCTTATGTACGGTGTGGATCCCTATTATTGCGAAAGATTAACTTCACCTTAAACGTGTTCAAAACAGATTTCTTTTGTATGCCTCTCACAACCTCAAGATCCCAGTTGCCAATCATGACTACTCACTAATCCGTAACATCCTTCAAATCCAAACTCCCTCCTCTCGGTGGATTGCAGCCGATCAGCAATTCATTGTTTCTCTTTTAGATGGGTCCACTGGATGCTCCTGATATTCTTAGAAAAATCTATTTTAGAGTTCTCTTATATTCTAATCGTAACCAGTCTTCGTTCTCTATACCTAGCCACTCCACTTCCTTCGGTCATAATCACCTACTACACCACATGCTCAGAAACTATAATCCTTGATCAACTTGTTTTGTATTTATTTCTTATTAATTGTATTTACTCCTACTTATTACCTAACCTAACCTAACCTATTATGTTTTCTTTACTAATCGTCTATTGTTATATGCTTCATTTACTTTACTCTATAGTTATTTTTTTATGTTTAATTTTCTATGTTTATGTTGTTTTTTATTGTCAAATATTTTTTTTTTCTTTTTTATGTCATTCCCATTGTAAAAGCTGTTTGGCGTCGTCTTAAAATTAAAAATAAATATAAATGTCATATTATGATAAAATAATAAAATATGCATTATATATTTCCTTTAATAACAATTTTTTAATATTGTAATGATTTTCCTGTTTTTACTACGTTTTTCCTGGTTTTCCCATGTTTTTTTTCCCGAAAACTCTTGAGAAAATTGAAAAAATGACCTTCCTAAAGTACCATGTAGATAAATTAATACATACCACGTCTAGAAAAGGTAAATATAAGTTTTTTGTCTAAATTTCAAATCCATAAAATCAATACGAACATTTTTAACTGAATTTCAACAAATAACAAAATTAAAAAAATAATAAAAGCATAACTATTTAAATTTCCCTATTTTTCTTTTTTATTGGGTAAACTGCCAGAAAAATCAAAAAATTACCTCCCTAAAGTACCACCTCAAGGAAATTGCCTTCCAGAAAAGTTTATATGGAATACATCGGAGCAAGGTTTCTGGTAGAATTTTTGTACAGTATAGAAAAAAAAAAACATCTTTGTGAAACTTATACATTCTTTGCTATATTCAGAATCTAAAAACGGCAAAACATGATAGTGGTTGATAGTGATAAGGAGTATATATATATATATATATATATATATATATATATATATATGACAAATATGCCCAGTGTTACCAAAATATGTGAGTTGCGTAAAAACTATCTTTATGATCTGTATTTAAATTATTATTAATTCTAAATCTATGTCTTATGGAAAAAAATCTTTTTTTACCACGTAAGAAGGGGTATATGACCCCATATCTCACCGTAAATCCGCCACTGTATTTGAGTATAGTTTGTAATAGTTAATAAAATTTAATTTAAAATTTCAGTCATGACGAATCAAAGACGCATTATCTTTAATTGTGTGCCGTGATGTCCAGCGTAACGCCATCTGTGAAAATCTTATGAAACTTACAAATAATTTCCCTTTTAACTATAATAACAATTTAATTTGCAATAAATAAGTATAAAAAAAATATTGAGGTCATAAATCGAGATGAAGACTATCCTATATTTTAAATTCGACCAAATCACACACATTGAGCATTATCTTATTAAAATTCGGTTGAGTAGTTTCAGTGTATCGCGCGTAAACTCGTCGTACGCGTGATTTATATAACTGTATATCATTAGTTAATGTGTAATTTGTATACATTTTGATTATATATTATATTATTATAGATATTTATTGATACTGTTGTCAATCTAGACAAATGATCCGTATATTTTAAGGTAGATAGTAGTAGCATAGTTAACTCCTAAACTTTGGAGGGGGGCTTAAGCCTTTTTTTAAATATTTAATAAATATTATCCACAGGACTTTGACTCTGCATTGAGGTGTTTCAGAAGATCCAAAGGGACTTAGCCCTCTAATTGTATCACTAGAAGCACAATTTAAAAAAGATGGACATCGCACGATAAGGAATACTATCACTGTTGTAAATGAGAAATTGGGATGGTAAAATATAGAGGGAATTTAATGTATATCTGTATGCAAAAATTAATCATTGCTACAAACAATTCTGAGTGGTGTTCGGTTTACATGTTTTGAAAGACCGTAATACTTACAATTCCAACGTTTTTCCCAATTTTATATCAAAACTACTGGGAAAAAAGAAAATAACCTATTTAAAGTACAACTTCAGATAAATTTCCTTTTAGAAAAAAACTACATTTGAAAATCAGCGTACTTTTCTGGTAGAAAAGTTGTTCACAGAAAAAAAAAAAATAAACATAATTTCAAAATTAATACATCGCTTAATAATCGCTTCACTCAGAATCTAAAATATAGGAAAATAATAACTGATACCAATATATCCACGTTTTACCAGATCTCATGTTACATTCTATGTCTTCATTCTTATCTTTTGTTTAATATTCTGTTTTTTCCTTATTTTTTATGAATTATGTAATCAATTATTATCTGTATTACTGTGCGCCTTTTTTCTATATAATATGTAATTGGGTTATTTAACCCGTTTAACTATTTAAACAAATAAATACAAAAATAAATTCCTCATTCCACTCAGAATCTAAAATATTACATTTAACTTAACTTATTCTTGTTGTCCAAGCACAACTTATAATGAACTAGCTATTAAATTTTCAACCATTTCCGTTTGCTCCAACAATTTCATTTATAGAGTACATACCGAATACAAATTATGTAAAAAAACGCAAAATTAAAATATCTATAAATAGTTAGTAATTGCATCTTCTGTACTTAAGTTCAGTTTGTGATTATCATTATTAATTTTTATTTTTGTTTTTACAGACCAAGGCTCTTTTCAGTCAATACTAATTTGTTCCACCCTTCTTTGCTATATGCACTATTTAAATCTCCATTCTTCTCTGGTCTTAGATCCATAATATCTTTTTTAACTACATTGATCCATTGTTGATTTGGTCGACCACACGGTCTTTTCTTCTTTATGTTGTTCATAAGTATCTACTGTTTCAACTATATTATTTTAGAAAAAAGAAGACGGCTGCTATAGCATTGTATTGCACAACTACATATAGCATATATCTTGTTTTCCTAATAAACCATGCAGAAACCTATAACGCTATTAAAAATAAATTAAATATAAATTAAATGGACCATTAAATTATTGTAAATAACAATATTTTATTTAGAATAATAAATTTTTATATACTTTTCAATAGAATTTTTAACATGTTGATGGACACGCTTTGCCATAGCATTCTATATGTGTTTTGATCTTGCCGTGCATGATTGCTAGCATTTGATAATATGATACTTGGGTGTCTTCGACGGTCAATAAAGAGTTTTAATGTGTTTCCAAATGTACTACCTTTGTAGTAAAACATATGAGCTAAATAGGATTTTGTGAAGGTACGACAGCGCAATTTGACAGTTAATGGACGGACAAAATCGACTTCAATTCTGTCAAAAGCATATGCTGGTGTAACTCTAGATGTAGGTAGATTAGACATAATTTGATGACATGTTGCTTTTCTAAATCGATAACATTTAAGAAAGTTATATATTACCCTTTTGACAGTGCTTCTATTGTGTATGATCCAATATCTCTGTTTAAGGATAGTCAAAGTAACCGACAAGCTTGAATGTAAGTTATATATGTATACTGGTTGATGATCATTGTATTGAAGAATTGATTTATTTTTTGGCAGAATAATCGGATGTTTCATATCATAGGCCAATTTTGAATGTTGGAGATGACTACCTCCTACTCTTAATATTCCTTTTTTATTTATAAATGGGTTTAAAACAAAGTTGACTATTGGTCTTTACATTCTGTTGTTGACTCAGGGAAGCTCCATGATAAATTATGTTCCTTGCATTATTCGTATCCAATACTTCATTGCTTGACACCTTTCACTCACTACATAGCTTCTGATGGTCCAGTTGGCCTTAAGTCTACAGTTCCTGCAAAAGCAAATTCTTAATAACCGTTCCAGATTAGAATGACGACTTAGTAGTTGTAAACTTAGTGAAGTGTTTGATGTGGTCATTAACGACATACTACATTGTACTGTTTTTTCTTCAAGGTTAAATGTAAAATTTTCATAATGTTCAGCTACTGGCCACTCATTAGGAGTAGTTAGTCATCTGGGACCGTTCCACCATAATTAATTAGTTGTAAACTCTTGGCCACTTAAACCTTTTGAGGCAACGTGCACCGTATTATCTACAGATGGAACGTATCATCAAACCACTGATGGGGTCAAGTTTTGGATCTGTCCTATTCTATTAGAGATAAATGTCGGCCATCTAGCTAGATCGCAACCAATCTAATGAATTGTAACAATTGAATCTGACCATAAATTAACTGATTGTATGTTAATGTTAATTGATTGGAGTAGGTATCCTCTTTTATCTTTTCTATTGCTTTTTGAATGTATGCATTAAATATAATTGGTGATAGAGTGCATCCTTGCCTCACTCCTTTGTTTATTTTCGCTTCTTCTACGTTATCTTGGATTTTTATAACCGCCAGCTCATCTTTGTATAATTTGTACAGCAGTTTCCTGTCTGCGTGTTTTATCCCCACTCTTGTCATCATATTAAACATTAACTTCCAGTTCACATTATCAAATGCTTTTTCGATGTCCACAAAAGCTATAAATGTTTGCTTATTCTTCCTAATCCTTTTCTGGATAATAATTCTCAGTGCCAGTATTGCTTCTCTCATTCCTCTATTTTTTCTGAAACCGAATTGGTCCTCCGTCAATGATTGTTCTATCTTGGATTCAATACGTTGGAATATAATCTTTGCTAGTATTTTTGATGCATGTGATAGGAGGCTAATGGTACGGAATTCCTCACATTTCTTTGCTGCTGCCTTCTTTGGGATGGGGATAATTATGCTTTTTATGTAATCCTCTGGCATTTCACCAGTCGCATATATATCTCTGATGATTTGGAACAGTCTGTTTTTAACTTCCTCTCCTGCCTCCTTCCAAAGCTCCACTTGTATTCCATCAATTCCCGCTGCCTTTTTGTTTTTCAGATTCTTCAGTGCTTTATCGAATTCTTCCCTCATGACTGGATCCTTTTCATATTCTTCTTCTTCGTTTGATTCGATTTCCTTAAGTGTTTCTCCCTCATACAGTATTTCTAAATATTCTTTCCATCTTTTGGCAATATCTTTTTGTTCCCACAACATTTTCCCGTTATTATCTTCTATTCCTTCTGATCTGGGCTTATACTGACCAAAGAACTTTTTCACCATTTTATATGCTCCTTCCCTTCTTCCTGAAGGGTGTTTCAATATCACTACAATTTTCTTCCAGGTACTTTTCTTTTGCTTCTTTCGATTTCCTAATAATTAAATTCCTCAATGCTCTATATATTTTTTGTCCTTCTGTACTGTTCAAATTTTTATATTTTCTTCTTTCCTCTATCAAGTTCACAATTTTAGTTGTAATCCGGTCCTTTCTTGCTGTATTGTTTTTATGCCTTAGAGTTTTTGCTGCTGTTTTTGTGATTGTCTGTTTCAAGCTCTGCCATCTTTTTTCAATGTTTTGTGGTTCTAGGGAATCTTCTATATTCATATCATTTGTGCATTCACTGTATTGTTTCCTTGATTTTTCTTCTCTTAGGTTTTTAACNTTTTTTTGAATTTAAGATTACACTTCATCATAACAAGGTTGTGATCGCTATTTATGTCCGCACCTGGATAACTTCTACTTTATTTTACTTGATTCCTAAATCTATTTTTTACCATGATGTAATCAATTTGGTACCTATTAATGTCTCCAGACATTTTCCAGGTGTATCTCCTTCTCTTATGATGGTTAAAACAAGTGTTTGTGATTATTAATTTATGTTTTGCACAAAATTATAGTAACCAGTCCCCTCTATCGTTACGGTTTCCTAAACCATAATCACCTGTTAAAGTTTTTACTTTTTTTTCCCCAACAATGGCATTCCAGTCACCCATTACTATCAGATTTTCCTCCCCTTTGACATTTTCTATTAATTTGTCTAAATTTTCATATATTTCTTCTAGCTCTTCCTCGCTATGATTTGTTGTTGGCATATACACCTGAACTACTATTGTGTCCTTTGGNTTAACTTTTTTACCTAGGACTTTATTCATTACCATCCCTACTCCTCCTATACCTGGTCTTTTCTCTGCTGTTCCCATATGTATTATTCTGTAGTTTCCGCTCCAGAAATCTCCTGGATTCGGCCATCTTATTTCTGATATTCCAAGGATATCAATTTTCATCTTGTTCATTTCCATTTTCAGGTTTTCTAACTTTCCACACTGTAATAAAGTTCTTATGTTCCAAGTTGCTATGAATTTGTATTCTTTATATTCTTTAACATTTCTTTCTCCTCTTGTAGTCCCCACCCGGAGATCTGAATGGGGAACTATTTTACCTCCGGAATATTTTACTTGAGAAGCTGTCATGTTGATTGCTGTTACTTGGGATTTAATTTAATGGCATTCTATGTTTTCCAGACATTAAATAAATGTTCGGGAATGTGGTCATCCCACTCTAAGCGCTCTTGCCACAATTGCTGCATTATTAATTTAGCAATAATTACTATAGGTGCCAACCAACCACAGGAAAATTCCTTGCAATTTTGGATAATAATTCTTTTTTTGTTAGATGTGAAATAATTTTCATTGCTTCTACCTTAAATTGAAATGTGTTATTCACTATGTTCCAATTGATGCCCAATATTTTTTATTGTAGAATCTATATCTTCTTTGAACAAAATTTTTTTAATTTGGTATTTAGAGGATATACGTTGTAAGGCTTTGTGGTGGTTGCTTGCCCATTTCGGCAGTTCGAAACCTTCTCGATTTAATAATGCTATAAGTTTTTGTATTTGATTTTGATACTTTCCTTAGATTGTCACCACCAGTCATGACTTCATAAACATAAAAATCATTTAATAAGATCTTAGCTCCTATTGGGTAGCTGTCTTGTCTGTATCATGATAAATGACAACATTACTAGACATCTCTTTCGAGATGGCTTGGGCCTCTTACTGGTCAGATGCTTTATTTGTACCAATTTTTTATCATTAGTGAGATGTGATATCTGGTCTACTGCTATATGAAGAAGAGTATGATGTTTTAATGTGCATATTTTACATACCTTGTTACTTGAATACTGATTTGTATGATGAGAGTATCATAGACAATTAAAACATAATTTTACCTTAACAACTAGTTTTTTTACGGTTCTTATATGTAGCTTGCATGCATGTTGGACACTGTCATATTGAATGGTAACTTAGAGAAAACACCGAGCATGTTTTTTTTTCTTATACTTATAGAAGCTTCTGGAAAGTGTAAATTATTATTTTAAATCCTTTTTTCTAACTCACACGATTTAAATACACCTCCATCACTGCATCTATCTGGAATACCAATATTTACATACGTAAAGTTGTAGATGGCTTAACATAATGCCATGTGAATGATGCTATAGCTTCCTTTGTAGTTAAAGTTTAATGAACCGTTCTTAGGATATGCCTTAAACATTTGAACCATTTAATTAATCTTTATAGATGATCTGAAATTATAATAACTACCTGGTGTACTATATGTTTGCCATCTAAAGCCCCAGCACAATGAAACATTTGCCATTTGATTTCAAAATCATCAGTAATTTTTTTTCCAGTTGTCTTCATTAGGCAATAATAGTGAAATAATACCTACCTAGAAACACATTGTTCACGAATTAATTGAACCCTTATGGTATTATAGGACTCCAGAATTATATTTGACACAATTTATTTACCTATTCTAAATGCATACATAATATTGATCATCTGTTCACCAGTAGCTAAAAATCTAGAGATATACAGAAATTATAAATAATATTCATCATTTATGTACAAAATTAAGTAATAATAATATAAAATGGTAGTTTATACCTAATTATTAATAAAAACAATTTATCTTAATGTGGCAACCAAAATCTCCCCAACAGAGAGAACATCATGTCTTTCGCAACAATTTTGTCTCTATCATTTAGGTAAGCTCTTCAAAAGTTGTGAGGTATCTTAATGAAATTAAAATACAGTGATGAATTTACCAAACACTGTTCTTTTATCAATATATTAAAATAACTGCGGTCATAACGCTCTTTTAAGCATTGGTCTCACATGCAATCTTCTAGGACTAAAAAACAGCATAAATGAAATTCTCATTTCAGATGCTTATTTTGATGTTTAAGGTAATATTTTAAGTTTCAATTTAAATACCTTCATAAAAATTAAATTTACCTTGTACAATTATTTTCTATTAAATTCAACAAAATAATATAAGCTACCAACACTTTATAATGGTAAACTTACTCATTATATTGTTGAACTTGTCGTTTATACTCATTATTTACCACAATTCCTAGGTAATTCCTTTTTATATTTAATAAATAATACAAAACATACCAGACGGTGAAACATTGATGACAAATTAATAACAAATATTCATAAATATTATAATCATATATTTTAAGAAAAATGCGCGGTAACAATTACAGCGCATTTTTGGTGAAAGGTAAATTAATAGTGATAGCGAGTGATAATGTTGGTGAATTGACAGATACAAATTATTTCGTGCAATCAAAAAAGAACGTGTGTTCAAAACACACGAAAAGAAACGACACGGCGAGTTGAGGACTCACCTTAATCAGCATTTATAAATTACAATAACACGTCATGCAGTCATGCACTGGTTTGACCAAAAAGACATAGATGCATGGCGTGTCCATTAACGTGTTAAGAATTTTATTCAATTCATCGCCACAAACTGTTTGGTTTTTTTTTTTTATTTTAGTAGATGTTTGTTCATGGGGTAATAAATTACTGTTTTTTTCAAAAAACAACGCATTTCTTCATTTTGAATATGTCGACACAAATAATTCATATTTGATACATTTTTATTGTAAAAAGCCTAATTTTGAATTTCAAAATAATTAAATATACATATATATATATATATATAGATACAATTTAATAGAAGTCTAATCTTAATTCCAGAATGATAAAGTTTACCCAGGTACATACAGTAGATAGCATAACCTGTATATCTCGCTTACATTCAGCCATTGTCGCAGATCCTCACGCTGCAATTTATAATTCCCAATACATTTTAGTGGCAGCATAGTAGACAGTGAGTGTTTACATTGCCCTGCTAATATATGCAGCTTATATGAGACGGTTAGGTTGCACCTCGATTTACCGCTCTTGAAGAGAGCATTGAGCAACGGCAATGCGGGAGCATGGTTAGCGCGAGTGAGATGTTTACGTACTCGCAGTGTCGCCATGATATGCATGGCATATAAAGCAAAACCTACATATCATCAATAAGGCTAAATATTTTTTTCACTAAAATACCCATGAAGGCATGAATTGTAATGGGTAATCACGGTTTTAACTATAACCAAATAGGTAACTTATCGTTCATGATAACGCCAAAAGACATTATCATTTCTCTGATAAACTATTATCAGTTATCAACACGAATTATATTATATATATATTAGTTACCCATTACGTTCTTATTAAAATACTATGACAGATTTCCATAATAGGTACACATTTCTACAATAGTGTATTAAAGAAATCTTTAAATATTATTTATATTATTATTATCTTAGTTCGTGGTAATCGCCAAACAATAATTATCTGTCTAAATAATTTATACAATATAAAAAAATACCTATATTACAATAGAAACTACAATGAAATAGTGAACAATAAACGGGCTGTTCCACGAAGATAAACCCCTTGAATATTCCTGAGATCATAAAGATAATCAAATTCTGTTTTTTTTTTTTATATTATTTATAGGAATGAGGACTACAACTATTAATATTTAAATTACATTTTTTTTTTAATAAAAAAATAAAAAAAAAATATTTTATTATTTTCGGAACATTTAAGATAGCCATTTTATATTTTATTTTTTTGAAAATTTTAATGTATCACCCATGTTATCGCGTAACACGGTTAGCTTATTCTCTAGATAACATGGGTTTTCACAAGGATTAGTAGAATCACGGCCTGTAATATACGTAAATAACACATTGAACTATAAGATAACTTATATCTTATAGTTCAATGAAATAACATAATCTATATGACTATATTATTATGTCATAAACATTTTTATCAGAATTATTTATAGATTTATCGTTTGTATGTTCTTTATTTTTTGTAATTTATAACAAAAATTAAAAAATTTGGTAAAATGGCCAGAAGCTAGACCCCAATTTCTATGGCACTTCTGGGCTTCAAAATGACTATATATTACCATAAAATAGCCAATATGGCAACAATACATACTCGCGATGCCCACTTTCATGCTCTGCATACTGCCATGGAAGTGGTCTGAAATCTGAATGTAAACGAGGCATATGTGTTTTGGTTATGCCTGCATCGGTTATTGATATTCATAGATTCTATGTATCCAATAAATTACCAAACGTGCTGTAAATAGCATTTATAAAGAGTACTCAAATTATTTGTTATCATATACCGTATTTAACCAATTAGAGGGCCGGATTTTTTATCGTAATATCTTATATTGTGTGCAGTGTGCACTGTGTGGTAATATGATGTGAATAGGTCGAGTTTCCGAAAACGGTTCTTATCATTTTCAAACAAGTGCCACCCACTGATGTTAATATAATATATAGACCATGGCTACCATGGTTATTTAGATATGGTAAATACAATACACTGTATACAGTGCACACAGAGCATACGAAATAAAATACTACCCAACGTGGTTTTTCATAGCAAATCAGGGTTTATTTTTGATTATTAATTTTCTCCAATCGCTAATCAATATTGCAATAAAAATGTAATAGTATTTAGTAATCAAATATTATAAATTAAAAAAAAATTTATTAGAATTAAAAAAAAAAACATTTTCAATGTCAACTATCGATATAAATCGGAGTGAAACATCGCGAGTAAGACTCGCGATGTTTCACCTTGATAACATATGGAAGACATTATTTTTCATGGCCTCGACGCCATTGTGTTTGTATGAAGAAATTCCTTTACGTGTTTGTTTAACATTCATTTCCTGCACCTTCGACAAATGTGTAGCGGAAAACATTAAAAAATCTATATTTTTATCATTTTACCAATCATTTTGTTGGCATTCAAATATCCAATTTTTTTTTTTATTAATTTTGTGTATATTGTTACTTATAAAACTAAAATACTTTGTTATAAGTCTGCGTAAGAAACAACGAAAGATATTTTCTACACTGAATGGTCACATTGCAAATCACATTATATATGTATTTGTGGGTACGTAACACTAATAATAATAATTAAATTATTGTAATTATCATAATCAAACAACTGCAGCCCATTTAAGTTAATTTGGCGACCTGTGAGATTTTTTATTCGTTATCAAATATCAGTCGCTTTCAG